CCTGTCAACACCAGCAATTAAGAGGTGGTACAACGCAACTCTAAACCTCCTGATCAGAAGCCTTGCTGTTGGATGTAGTTTATCGTCTTACCCAGAACGGGGTGGACCTGGCAACACCAGCAATTAAGAGGTGGTTCAACGCATCTCTAAACCTCCTGATCAGAAGCCTTGCTGTTGGATGTAGTTTATCGTCTTACCAAGAACGGGGTGGACCTGGCAACGCCAGCAATTAAGAGGTGGTACAACGCAACTCTAAACCTCCTGATCTGAAGCCTTTCTGTTGGATGAAGTTTATCGTCTTACCCAGGAGGGGTGGACCTGGCAACACCAGCAATTAAGAGGTGGTTCAACGCAACTCTAAACCTCCTGATCAGAAGCCTTGCTGTTGGATGTAGTTTATCGTCTTACCCAGGACGGGGTGGACCTGTCAACACCAGCAATTAAGAGGTGGTACAACGCAACTCTAAACCTCCTGATCAGAAGCCTTGCTGTTGGATGTAGTTTATCGTCTTACCCAGAACGGGGTGGACCTGGCAACACCAGCAATTAAGAGGTGGTTCAACGCATCTCTAAACCTCCTGATCAGAAGCCTTGCTGTTGGATGTAGTTTATCGTCTTACCAAGAACGGGGTGGACCTGGCAACGCCAGCAATTAAGAGGTGGTACAACGCAACTCTAAACCTCCTGATCTGAAGCCTTTCTGTTGGATGAAGTTTATCGTCTTACCCAGGAGGGGTGGACCTGGCAACACCAGCAATTAAGAGGTGGTTCAACGCAACTCTAAACCTCCTGATCAGAAGCCTTGCTGTTGGATGTAGTTTATCGTCTTACCCAGGACGGGGTGGACCTGTCAACACCAGCAATTAAGAGGTGGTACAACGCAACTCTAAACCTCCTGATCAGAAGCCTTGCTGTTGGATGTAGTTTATCGTCTTACCCAGAACGGGGTGGACCTGGCAACACCAGCAATTAAGAGGTGGTTCAACGCATCTCTAAACCTCCTGATCAGAAGCCTTGCTGTTGGATGTAGTTTATCGTCTTACCAAGAACGGGGTGGACCTGGCAACGCCAGCAATTAAGAGGTGGTACAACGCAACTCTAAACCTCCTGATCTGAAGCCTTTCTGTTGGATGAAGTTTATCGTCTTACCCAGGAGGGGTGGACCTGGCAACACCAGCAATTAAGAGGTGGTTCAACGCAACTCTAAACCTCCTGATCAGAAGCCTTGCTGTTGGATGTAGTTTATCGTCTTACCCAGAACGGGGTGGACCTGGCAACACCAGCAATTAAGAGGTGGTTCAACGCATCTCTAAACCTCCTGATCAGAAGCCTTGCTGTTGGATGTAGTTTATCGTCTTACCAAGAACGGGGTGGACCTGGCAACACCAGCAATTAAGAGGTGGTTCAACGCATCTCTAAACCTCCTGATCTGAAGCCTTCCTGTTGGATGTAGTTTATCGTCTTACCCAGAACGGGGTGGACCTGGCAACACCAGCAATTAAGAGGTGGTTCAACGCATCTCTAAACCTCCTGATCAGAAGCCTTGCTGTTGGATGTAGTTTATCGTCTTACCAAGAACGGGGTGGACCTGGCAACGCCAGCAATTAAGAGGTGGTACAACGCAACTCTAAACCTCCTGATCTGAAGCCTTCCTGTTGGATGTAGTTTATCGTCTTACCAAGAACGGGGTGGACCTGGCAACACCAGCAATTAAGAGGTGGTACAACGCAACTCTAAACCTCCTGATCAGAAGCCTTGCTGTTGGATGTAGTTTATCGTCTTACCCAGGACGGAGTGGACCTGGCAACACCAGCAATTAAGAGGTGGTTCAACGCAACTCTAAACCTCCTGATCTGAAGCCTTGCTGTTGGACGGGGTGGACCTGGCAACACCAGCAATTAAGAGGTCGTTCCACGCACCTCAAAACCTCTTGATCAGGTTTATCGTCTTACCCAGGACGCGAATGTAGTTTATCGTCATACACAGGACGGTCCATTGTAGGGAAACAGGTAATATTATCATTGTCATTCAATAACACTGTATAATGAGTGGCTCTTGAGCTTTGTATTGGAGTAAATACAATATAAGAAAATAACGAATTTGTTAAATTACTACTGTAAATAAAGTCTGACAAAAGGCCATGTTGAGACTCTTGCGGTTCTATTTAAAAGAAAGGTGCTTTATTTTATTTTATTTTTTTTTTACCTTTTTTTCAGCCCTTAAATTGATACGGATTTCATCTCTCGTTGTCTATTTTTTTTTTTCATTCAAAAGTTTTTTTGTTTTTTTTTTCGTGGCATTCTTCTTCCGCAACCTTTACCGGCATTCTGCTGCTTTATTCGGTTCCAATGTGTTCTGATTATATTTGAATGCTTGCAGAAATAAAACCTTTGGGAGCACAATTTCTCACCATCCCTAAATTTGGCCTCGAAACTTGAAAATTCTCTAGGAGACCCGAATTAGTTTTGGTGTCAATTAGTTTCAGGATAACAATGCCACAAAAAAAAAAAAAATAATAATGAAAAAGTCGAAGTGCAGATAAAACGAGAAATGAGGACTGCTAAAAACAGACAGAAATGTCCTTTGATCTTATCAAGCGATCTGCGAAAAGCCAAAGATGAGGCAGTAAGAATTTTTAAACAAAGGGTAAAAGAGAGACGAAGAAAGAAAGAAAGAAAGAAAGATAGAAAGAAAGAAAGAAAGAAAGAAAGAAAGAAAGAATTATTACAAAAACGAAAACGATAGCAGAACGAATGAAACCAAATTGACAGCGAGTAAGAACGAGAGGGAGAATGAAAGAAAGAAAGTTAGATTATATAACCTTATAAACAGAAAGAAAGAAAAGAAAACAAAAGAAGAAAGAAAGAAAAAAAGAAAGAAAGACAGAAAGAAAGAAGGAAAATAACAACAACAGAAGAAAGAAAGAATATCAAGAAAGAATTACGAAAAAAGACGGTTAAGAAAGACAGAAAAAAAAAAGAAGTAGAAGAAGAAGAAGAAGAACGAGAGAAAAGAAACAAACAAACAAAAACACAAACATAAATTTAAAGAGGGGGGAAAAGAGTGATGACAAATGAAAGAAAGAAAAAGAATTCTGAGAAAAAACGAAATAGGATAACAAAAAGAATGAAAGCAAATTGACAGCGAGTTAAAAAGAGAGGCATAAAAAAGAAAGAAAAACAGATTATAAAACCTTACAAATTGGAAGAAAGAAAGAAAGAAACAAACAAGACATACAAAAAGAAAGAAGATCAATAAAGAATTACGAGAAGAAACAAAGACGGTAATAAAGAAAGAAAAAAAGAAGAAGGAAAAACGGATTACGTAGGAAACGAAGAAATGAGAGAAAGAAACAAAGATTTTTTAATAAAGGGCAAAAGAGAAAAAGGCAAAGAAAAAAGAAAGAAAGAAAGAAAGAACGAACGAACGAAAGAAAGAAAGAAAGAAAGAAAGAAAGAAAGAAAGAAAGAAAGAGAGAAAGAATAATTGTGAGAAAAACAATAGAAAATAACAGAAATATTAGAAGAAATTGACAGAGATTAAGAGGAGTAGAAAAAAAAAAGGATGCCAGAGTATAGAACCTTACAAAAGAAAGAAAGAAAATAAACAAAGACAGAAAAAACTAAGAAATGCAAGAAAAAATTACGAGAATAAAGAAATATGGTTAAGAAAGAAAGAAAAAAAGTAGAAGTGAATTACAAAGGAAACGAAAGAAGGAAACGAAAGAAAGAAACAAAGACAGAAAAGAAAAAAGAAACAAACAAACAAAAAAAAAACAGAAAGAAAAGCAAGAAGGAATTACGAGCGAAAAGAAAACCAGTTAAGAAGAATAAAAAGAAGGAAAACGAACAATGAAGGAAACGAACACGAAAGAAAGAAAGAAAGAAAGAAAGAAAGAAAGAAAAATGAAAGAAAGAAAGAAAAATGAAAGATAGAAAGAAAGTGACAAATAAACAACGAATAAACAGAGACTTTCAAGAAAGAAAGAAAAAAGAATCGAAATGAATTGCTAAGGAAACGAAAAAAAGAAACAAAGTGAAAAATAAACAAAGAATAAACAAAGACAAAAACGAAAGAAAATCCAAAAAGATTTGCTAGAAAAAGCAAAGAAAAGTTAAAAAAAAAAATGGAAAAAGAATGGAAAAACAATTTATGAACAGAAAGAAAGGAAGAAAGAAAAAAAGAATGTAAGCCAAAAAGACAAAGAAACGAAAGAAGGAGTTAAGAAACAGACGCAAAAAAAGGACGGAAAAAGAAAGGAAAGATATTATTATCAAAATATCTTGAAACATAAAATGAACGCAAGCATATATATGTATATGCGTGTGTATTTTGGCGTGGGAGGCGGGTTATATATGCATATGTTTGCATGCTTATGGCTGTGTGTGTGCTCATTACTTCCAAATAAATATATGGAACATTTTTCAAATCAATTTTAAATTAAGAAAAACATATGCAGAAAGAATATATATCATATCAAAGGAAAAAAATAAATGACGGAAATATCGTGATTTATGAAAGAAAGAAGGAAAGAATGTATATATATATATATATATATATATATATATATATATATATATATATATATATATATATATATATATGTATATATATATATATATATATATATATATATATATATATATATATATGTAGTAAAACAAACAAAGAATTATTACGATTTAGCAACCAAACGAAAAACAACAGAAAAAAGAAAGAAAATCAAGAAAGAAATACGAGAGTAAAGAAAGACCGCTAAGAAAGAAAAAGAAAGAAAATGAATTATGAATGGAAAGAAAGAAAGCAAGAAAGAAAGAAAGAAAGAATTATGAAACAAACAAACAGAATTTTTGCGAGTTATGAAGAAAGAAAGAACGGAAGAAAGAAAAAAGAAAGAAAGAAAGAAGGAATTATGAAACATACAGAATTTTTGCGAGTTAAGAAAAGAAAGAAAGAAAGAAAGAAAGAAGGAATTATGAAACAAACAGAATTTTTGCGAGTTAAGAAAAGAAAGAAAGAAAGAAAGAAAGAAAGAAAGAAAGAAAGGAGGAATTATTGAACAAACAGACAGAATCTTTGCGAGTTAAGAAGAAAGAAAAAAAGAAAGAAAGAAAGAAAGAAAGAAAGAAAGAAAGAAAGAAAGAAAAGAGCTACGAAAATCATTTGGGACGAGTAGAAAATTAATGCCGATAATTCGTTAAGGGTCGTTATTCGTAAATTAATATACATGGAAAATCGATAAATGACATAGCAAAGGAAGAAGTATAAACGAACAGCAGGTCTGAGAGAAAGAAGAGTTACAAATTTAATATATGTACGGATGCTCATACATTGACATAATCAAGTTGTACCGAAATAATTACTACTTCTGTGCTCTTTAGCGTCGGGAGGTGATAAAATTTCTAATAAATTCGAGCGTTACTGGGCAAACAAGGATTGGAGGCACGGCTGGAAGATGGTTAGAGAGTTGGTGACAAATAGGCCGACATTAGTTTTTGTTGCTGATTGAAATGTCTTTTTTCAATTTAGTCGGTGTTATTTTAATATTATATTTATTTTTTTTATTTGGGGGTGGAGCAGATTTTTTTTAAATAAAATTATGAGAAAAACAAGTGTAAGAAAGAAAAATCTTAATCAAAATGGAAATTAATATATATATATTTTTAAAAAGAAACAAACAAGCAAGCAGACGAAAAGACAAACAAAAGAAGTAAAGAAAGAAAATGAAAGTGGAAAAAATGGCTGAGAAAAAATCTCGGAAACAAGAAAGAGGCTAAGAAATAAAGAAAATATATGAATGAAAGAGAAAAGGAAAAAGAAATATTTGATAAAGTGAAAGAGAGAGAGAGAAGGAATATAGAAAAATAAACTTTTCAAAGTGAAAGAGAGAGAGTGAAAGTGAAAAGAAGTCTCAGAAAGAGGAAAGCTAAAAAAAAGAAAGAAGGTTACGAAAGAAAGAAAGAAAGAAAGAAAGAAAGAAAGAAAGAAGGAACGGAATAAAGAAAGAAAGTAAGTAAGAAAGAAAGAATATAGAAGAACTTTTCAAAATAAAAAGAAAGAAAAAATGGAACGTGAGACGAAAGATCAGTTAAAAAATACTAAAAAAGAAGGCGGCTACAGAACAAAGAAAATGAATGAAACAAAGAAAGAAAGATCTAGTTAACTAAGAGCAAGAAAGAGAGAGAAAATAATATGGAAAAACTTTTCAAAGTGAAAGAAAGAAATGAATGGCGAACAGGACGCCCAGAAAGAGGATTGATTAAAAAAAAAAAAAGATGAAAGTCTATATAAGAAAAAAAAGAAACAAACAAACACGAGAAGCTAAAACAAATGATCGGGTAAAAAATGCTCAGAAAAAGAAAGTTAAAGAAAAAGAAAGACGGCAAGAAACCAAGAAAAAGAAGGAAGGAAAGAAAACTGAAAGAAAGAGAAAAGAAAGAAAGAAAGAAAGAAAGAGAAAAGAAAGAAAGAAAAAAGGAAAGAGAAAAGAAAGAAAGAAAGAGAAAAGAAAGAAAGAAAGAAAAAGAAGTAACAAAATTGAAAGAAAGAACGAAACAAAGAAAAAAGAAAAGAAGAAATATAGAAAAAAAAATGAAAAACGAAACAAAGAAAGAAAGACAGACAGACAGACAGAACGAAAGAAAGAAGAACGAAAGAAAGAAAAAACAACGAAAGAAAGAAAAAAGAAAGTAACAAAATTGAAAGAAGTGTCGAAAGAAGGAAAAAGAAAGAAAGAAAGAAAAAGGAAAGAAAGATAGGACGAAAGAAAGAAAAACGAAAGAAAGAAAAAAAAGAAAATTAAAAAAGAAAAAAAGAAACAAAGAAAGATAAAGCGAAAGGTAGAAAGAAATTAATGAAGTTTTAAGAAAAAAAAGAAAGACTCGTAAATCGAAGAAAGAAATCAAGTCAAACGAAAAACGATAATGATTTCAAAAAAGGAGAAGATAATTAAGAATATATTGATAAAGACAGTAAGGGAAAGGAGCGATAAACGAAAATTAGTAGAAAAGGTGAAAGAGAGAATTGCAAAAGAAAAGAAACGAAAAGAAAAAGAAGTGAAAGAAAAAATAAAATAAACTATTCAAAACTACAAATACAAAAATTTACAGAGATACGAGAGATTATAGATATGAACAGAGGGAAATAGATTACTTAATCAGTTTTTTACGTTTTATGGCTTATTTAAACATATTTTGGATTATAAAAATGTGCATATTTCTTTTGTGAGTGAATAACAACGATTCTTACACGTAGAAATCCTGTGATTTGATGCATTCACAAATTTCCCGTGGTTATATGCGTGTAAGTGTATGTTAGGTACTCAACTGAAATCCCAACTCAGCTCACCGATTTCACATTCCGATTCGCTATTCTTTATACCACATTAACATCCTAGATAGATAGACAGATAGATAGATAGATCGATAGATGCAGAGAGAGATACCAAGATAGATATGAACAGAGATTAAATAGATAGATAGATAGATAGATAGATAGATAATGAACAGAGATTAAAGAGAAATGAAGATAGATAGATAGATAGATAGATAGATAGATATGAACAGAGATTAAAGAGATAGATAGAGAGAGAGAGATGCATAGATAGATATGAACAGATATTAAAGAGATATGAAGATACATGTGAATAGAGATTAGATAGATAGATAGATAATGAACAGAGATTAAAGAGAAATGAAGATAGATAGATAGAGAGAGAGAGAGAGAGAGATGCATAGATAGATATGAACAGATATTAAAGAGATATGAAGACAGACAGATATGAACAGAGATTAAATACATACATACATAGATAGATAGATAGATAGATAGATAGATAATGAACAGAGATTAAATAGACATGAAGATAGATAGATAGATAGATAGATAGATAGATATGAACAGAGAGAGATATATATATACATAGATATGAACAGATATTAAAGACATATGAAGATAGATATGAACAGAAATTTCTGCGTATTACAAACCTAATGTCTTCAGCAACAATGTTTTACCAGTGCTTATATTTTTGCTGTTATCATTACTCGTTTTTACCAAAGCTCATATTTCATTTTTTTTGTTATTATCGCTTTTCTCTTGCACCCCTCATTACTGGTTCCCATATTGTATTCATTTCTATGCTTGGTCGGCTCAGGAGATTTTTGTGGCCCAGCACATGTGCTGATTCCTTAAGTTTACGAAATTTCCAATGGTCCTCTTTGTCTATGATCTCAGCCTGATCCCACAGAGGGCGGTGTTCTCACTTATGTTTCCATATGTGGTCAGCCACGCCTGATTTTTCCACTTCCTCTCGTGTTACTGCTTCATAGTGTTCTTGAAGCCTTACCTTAAGGAGGCGGCTTCCTCCACCTTATATTTCTTTCCGCAGCTGCGCGATAGATAGATAGATAGATAGATAGATAGATAGATAGATAGATAGATAGATATGTAAGGGCTGATAGATAGATAGATAGATAGATAGATAGATAGCGAATAACGTTAGATAATGAATAGACTGAGATAGATAGATAGATAGATAGATAGATAGATAGATAGATAGATATGAACAGATATTAAAGAGATATGAAGACACATATGAACAGAGATTAGATAGATAGATAGATAGATAATAAACAGAGATTAAAGAGAAATGAAGATAGATAGATAGATAGATAGATAGATAGATAGATAGATAGATAGATATGAACAGAGATTAAAGAGATAGATAAAGAGAGGGAGATGCATAGATAGATATGAACAGATATTAAAGAGATATGAAGAGAGACAGATATGAACAGAGATTAAATACATAGATAGATAGATAGATAGATATATAGATAGATAATGAACAGAGATTAAAGAGATATGAAGATAGATAGATAGATATGGACAGAGAGATATATATATATATACATAGATATGAACAGATATTAAAGACATATGAAGATAGACAGATATGAACAGAAATTTCTGCGTATTACAAACCTAATGTATTCAGCAACAATGTTTTACCAGTGCTTATATTTTTGCTGTTATCATTACTCGTTTTTAACCAAAGCTCATATTGCAATTTTTGTTGTTATTATCGCTTTTCTCTTGCACCCCTCATTACTGGTTCCCATATTGTATTCATTTTTATGCTTGGTCGGCTCAGGAGATTTTTGTGGCCCAGCACATGTGCTGATTCCTTAAGTTTACGAATTTTCCAATGGTCCTCTTTGTCTATGATCTCAGCCTGATCCCACAGAGGGCGGCGTTCTCACTTATCTTTCCATATGTGGTCAGCCACGCCTGATTTTTCCACTTCCTCTCGTGTTACTGCTTTATAGTGTTCTTGAAGCCTTACCTTAAGGAGGCGGCTTCCCCCCCCCTTTATATTTCTTTCCGCAGCTGCGCGATAGATAGTTAGATATGTAAAGGCTGACAGATAGATAGATAGATAGATAGCGAATAACGTTAGATAATGAATAGACTGAGATAGATAGATAGATAGATAGATAGATAGATAGATAGATAGATAGATATATGTAAGGGCTTAGATAGATAGATAGATAGATAGATAGATAGATAGATAGATAGATAGATAGATAGCGAATAACCTTACATAATGAATAGACTGAGATAGATAGATAGATAGATAGATAGATAGATAGATAGATAGATAGATAGATAGATATATATATATATATATATATATATATATATATATATATATATATATATATATATAGATAGATAGATAGATAGATAGATATGTAAGGGCTTAGATAGATATGAAATGACTGAACTAGATAGACAGATAGCTATATCGCTAAATATGAACAGACTAAGATAAATGGATATGAACAGACTGCACTCATTGGTCTCAATAAACATTTGCCTTGTCATCTCTCCCAAACCCTGTTCAGCAATCCAAGGTCACTGTGATATGAGTTGTTTTCCTCTGCGCCTTCAATCTGTTCTGTTTGTATTGAAAAATTTACTGGACAGCCAAAGAGCCTGGGAGGAAATTACAATCAAGCAGTGCGAGTAAAGAAATTGTTAGCATAGAACTTCCGGTTACATCTACCGATTTCTACTGTATAAGATAAAACCTATCTGCCAATCTAGTACTGCCCTTTAAATTCATAAAATCTGGGTATCAAAGAGGAAAGCTCATTAGAATAATTACCATGAAATTATTTATAACAATAGCATTGAGAATATAAATGAAGACTGTTGGAAAGTGACTGAAGTCGAAAAGCCAGATCAGGGCCAATAACATTGCAGATTTTTGTTACCTTTTTTTTTTTTTTTACAAAGAATCTCTAAATACATGTCAGAAGGACCAGACCAGATGTGACAGCAATATTCAATAAATCGACAAATGATAGAGTTATAAATTTATAAGACAGAAATTCACGACACATTGAACCGACATTCCAAACATATGGAGCTAACAGTTGATTTATTATAATATGTCAGCGAAAAACGTCAGCCCAACAAGTTGCAAAGAATAACTCTCGTGGAGGTTAGCATCAGCCATGTTGATGGGAGACAAAATTTTTAATCAAACGGTTAGAACATTGTTAAAATCAACAAGCCATTTCTTGCCGCAGTTAACAATAGATTGTAGGTAATTTTAAGATCAGCTGCCAATGTGACCTCATCAATCCAATTCACACACACAGACACACACACACAGATACATACACACACATCGATGTATATATAATTACCGGAAATATTTCTGTGTTTAAAACATCTCGCTTCTACTATCAACCTCACCTTATTCAACAGTGGTAATGGGGGGTGATGAATTTCTTTTAAAACAACAGAAATGTGCTCACTTGAATTCTAGCCGCGATCAACACGCGAAGACTCAGAATATACGCTCCTACCATTATTCAAAACAACACAAAAAAAAATCTTATGGAGTCAAACAGGAAGAGAAAATAGCAAAACCTACCCCAACACCTTGAAAATGGCTAAAGAAGCGTCGAAATCACGGCGAATCGCTAGATTATGCACAGTAAATGAGCGTTCAGATTTTTTTCAGGATTTCACCTTTTTTAGCAGATCATTTATTATCCCAATTAATTTATTATTAAAGATACTCAATAATAAGATTGATAAAAACATACATGAAAAAAAACGCAAAGAGTATATCTGTCTATATTTCTGAGATGAGGTATTAGGTATATTATTTACATTATTCGGACTATTGTCCTCATATTTGTCGCCATATTTATTATAAAGTTTCGGCCTTTCATTATCTGTCTATATTTTTGAGATGAGGTATTAGGTATATTATTTACATTATTCGGACTATTATACTCATCTTTGTCGCCATATTTATTACAGCGTTTCAGCCTTTCAGTATCTGTCTATATTTTTGAGATGAGGTATTAGGTATATTATTTACATTATTCGGACTATTGTACTCATCTTTGTCGCCATATTTATTATAAAGTTTCGGCCTTTCATTATCTGTCTATATTTTTGAGATGAGGTATTAGGTATATTATTTACATTATTCGGACTATTGTACTCACATTTGTCGCCATATTTATTATAAAGTTTCAGCCTTTCAGTATCTGTCTATATTTTTGAGATGAGGTATAAGGTATATTATTTACATTATTCGGACTATTGTACTCATCTTTGTCGCCATATTTATTATAAAGTTTCGGCCTTTCATTATCTGTCTATATTTTTGAGATGAGGTATTAGGTATATTATTTACATTATTCGGACTATTGTACTCACCTTTGTCGCCATATTTATTATAAAGTTTCGGCCTTTCAGTATCTGTCTATATTTTTGAGATGAGGTATTAGGTATATTATTTACATTATTCGGACTATTGTACTCATCTTTGTCGCCATATTTATTATAAAGTTTCGGCCTTTCATTATCTGTCTATATTTTTGAGATGAGGTATTAGGTATATTATTTACATTATTCGGACTATTGTACTCATCTTTGTCGCCATATTTATTACAGCGTTTCAGCCTTTCAGTATCTGTCTATATTTTTGAGATGAGGTATTAGGTATATTATTTACATTATTCGGACTATTGTACTCATCTTTGTCGACATATTTATTACAGCGTTTCAGCATTTCAGTATCTGTCTATATTTTTGAGATGAGGTATTAGGTATATTATTTACATTATTCGGACTATTGTACTCATCTTTGTCGCCATATTTATTATAAAGATTCGGCCTTTCATTATCTGTCTATATTTTTGAGATGAGGTATTAGGTATATTATTTACATTATTCGGACTATTGTACTCATCTTTGTCGCCATATTTATTATAAAGTTTCGGCCTTTCATTATCTGTCTATATTTTTGAGATGAGGTATTAGGTACATTATTTACATTATTCGGACTATTGTACTCATCTTTGTCGCCATATTTATTATAAAGTTTCGGCCTTTCATTATCTGTCTATATTTTTGAGATGAGGTATTAGGTATATTATTTACATTATTCGGACTAATGTACTCATCTTTGTCGCCATATTTATTACAGCGTTTCAGCCTTTCAGTATCTGTCTATATTTTTGAGATGAGGTATTAGGTATATTATTTACATTATTCGGACTATTGTACTCATCTTTGTCGCCATATTTATTACAGCGTTTCAGCCTTTCAGTATCTGTCTATATTTTTGAGATGAGGTATTAGGTATATTATTTACATTATTCGGACTATTGTACTCATCTTTGTCGCCATATTTATTATAAAGTTTCGGCCTTTCATTATCCGTCTATATTTTTGAGATGAGGTATTAGGTATATTATTTACATTATTCGGACTATTGTACTCATCTTTGTCGCCATATTTATTATAAAGTTTCGGCCTTTCATTATCTGTCTATATTTTTGAGATGACGTATTAGGTATATTATTTATATTATTCGGACTATTGTACTCATCTTAGTCGCCATATTTATTATAAAGTTTCGGCCTTTCATTATCTGTCTATATTTTTGAGATGAGGTATTAGGTATATTATTTACATTATTCGGACTATTGTACTCATCTTTGTCGCCATATTTATTATAAAGTTTCGGCATTTCATTATCTGTCTATATTTTTGAGATGAGGTATTAGGTATATTATTTACATTATTCGGACTATTGTACTCATCTTTGTCGCCATATTTATTATAAAGTTTCGGCCTTTCATTATCTGTCTATATCTTTGAGATGAGGTATTAGGTATATTATTTACATTATTCGGACTATTGTACTCATCTTTGTCGCCATATTTATTATAAAGTTTCGGCCTTTCATTATCTGTCTATATTTTTGAGATGAGGTATTATGTACATTATTTACATTGTTCGGACTATTGTCCTCATCTTTGTCGCCATATTTATTACAACGTTTCTGCCTTTCAGTATCTGTCTATATTTTTGAGATGAGGTATTATGTACATTATTTACATTATTCGGACTATTGTCCTCATCTTTGTCGCCATATTTATTACAACGTTTCGGCCTTTCAGTATATGTCTATATTTCTGAGATGAGGTATTATGTACATTATTTACATTATTCGGACTATTGTCCTCATCTTTGTCGCCATATTTTTTACAATGTTTCGGCCTTTCAGTATCTGTCTATATTTCTGAGATGAGGTATTATGTACATTATTTACATTATTCGGACTATTGTCCTCATCTTTGTCGCCATATTTATTACAACGTTTCGGCCTTTCAGTATCTGTCTATATTTTTGAGATGAGGTATTATGTACATTATTTACATTATTCGGACTATTGTCCTCATTTTGTCGCCATATTTATTACAACGTTTCGGCCTTTCAGTATCTGTCTATATTTCTGAGATGAGGTATTATGTACATTATTTACATTATTCGGACTATTGTCCTCATCTTTGTCGCCATATTTATTACAACGTTTCGGCCTTTCAGTATCTGTCTATATTTCTGAGATGAGGTATTAGGTACATTATTTACATTATTCGGACTATTGTACTCACCTTTGTCGCCATATTTATTATAAAGTTTCGGCCTTTCAGTATCTGTCTATATTTTTGAGATGAGGTATTAGGTATATTATTTACATTATTCGGACTATTGTACTCATCTTTCTCGCCATATTTATTATAAAGTTTCGGCCTTTCATTATCTGTCTATATTTTTGAGATGAGGTATTAGGTATATTATTTACATTATTCGGACTATTGTACTCATCTTTGTCGCCATATTTATTACAGCGTTTCAGCCTTTCAGTATCTGTCTATATTTTTGAGATGAGGTATTAGGTATATTATTTACATTATTCGGACTATTGTACTCATCTTTGTCGACATATTTATTACAGCGTTTCAGCATTTCAGTATCTGTCTATATTTTTGAGATGAGGTATTAGGTATATTATTTACATTATTCGGACTATTGTCCCTCATCTTTGTCGCCATATTTATAAAGTTTCGGCCTTTCATTATCTGTCCATTTTTGAGATTTATTAGGTAAATTTACATTATTTCATCTTTGTATATTTGTCTTTCATATTTTTGAGATGAGGTATTATTTTTGAGATGAGGTATTAGGTATATTATTTACATTATTCGGACTATTGTACTCATCTTTGTCGCCATATTTATTATAACGTTTCGGCCTTTCATTATCTGTCTATATTTTTGAGATGAGGTATTAGGTATATTATTTACATTATTCGGACTATTGTACTCATCTTTGTCGCCATATTTATTACAAAGTTTCGGCCTTTCATTATCTGTCTATATTTTTGAGATGAGGTATTAGGTATATTATTTACATTATTCGGACTATTCCCTCATCTTTGTCGCCATATTTATTATAAAGTTTCGGCCTTTCATTATCT